GACCTGACCAGACCTGACCAGACCTCTGATGACATATTGGAAGTCTCTATAATATATAAAGGCGCATAAAGGTTGCGCATCTGGTGAGTGCGTAATCTGTATCCTCACTGTCTCACCGCGTGCACAGTCTATGTTGTTTGGAAGTCTATGGATCGATTGAGATCTTGTTCACATCTTCACGTTGGACTTATCTGTGGACACAGCAGTTTTTTCCTCACATTATATTAGCCACCGTACAGTGGCATATATATGAGTGCACAGCATCACTTTATGGTTTTTGCATGATTTTATACATGTATATATATGTTCATTTATTTGTACTCTAGCGCTGCATCTTTTTGTATATTATTGTGTATTGGAAGGTTTTATATGGTGCCTTTGGTGTACAGCTGCTACTATATAGAAGGCGCTCACTTATTTACACGTTTTCAATAAATAGATACATTGTTGCAACTGCTATAAATGTCAAGGAACTGTCAAAGAAATAGCGGAGCTCTCTGCAGGGACACTTTTTGTTGGACTGGAATTCCTCTTCTTCTTCTTCCTCTTCTTCTTCTTCATCCTCTTCTTCTTCTTCATCCTCTTCTTCATCTTCTTCATCTCTCTTCATCATCCTCTTCTTCTTCTTCATCCTCTTCTTCTTCTTCCTCTTCTTCTTCTTCCTCTTCTTCATCCTCTTCTTCATCTTCTTCTTCTTCATCCTCTTCTTCTTCTTCCTCTTCTTCTTCTTCCTCTTCTTCTTCTTCCTCTTCTTCTTCCTCTTCTTCATCCTCTTCTTCATCCTCTTCTTCATCCCCTTCTTCTTTTTTCTTCTTCTTTTTGTCTTCCTCTTGTAGGTCACTGCTCATGCGCAGATTTTTTTATCGGTAAAAAGATCGGCCGATTTGCCCATCATTGCCGCGAAAATCGGCCGATCGGCAAAGTCGGCCGATTTTTTTTTCCAACTTTACAGATAAAAAAATCTGCCAAAATACCGAAAAAAAACGGCCGAACAATTAGCCCACTAACGATCCGAAAATCGGCCGATTTTATTTTCGGCCGAAAAATCGGCCTATTTTCGACCCATCTATGGCCTGCATTAGGAAAGCTACCTGAGAGAGGGCTACATGAGGAAATCGCTGTCAGTGAAAAAGTTTGTAAAAAGCTTGTTTTGTTGGTGTCTGGGAGAAGCCCATCATCTGTTAGAGAAGAATCTGTACTGTTTAGTTAGTGCCTGTATGGCGAGGATTTATTTTCTATTTTGTTTTGTTGTTTTCATTACAACCTCTTAAAATAAAAACTGTATCAAGTCAGAATTTTAAGAAAGACCTGATGCTTGGACTGCCTTTTTCCCAGGAAAAGTGATCCCTACTTGAACTAACTGCCACACTGGTTGCAGATGGGTTCATTTCTTTTTTTTGGTTCAGCCAGGGGACTGAATGAAAAAGAAAGAACAGATACCTTACACAATCCACACAAGCAAGGTGTAGAAAGGAATTGCCCCCTTCCCCACTGAGATATTGTATTATGACAGCAAACTCTTGTGATGTCAGAATACACCGATCAGCAGCTGCAGCCACTCATCTGCAAAAGTTTTCAAACATTCTTGTTTGTCAAAAGTTGCTCTAATGCTCGACTTCTGACAAATAGGGGCAGCCACACATGCATCCACTATCAGCTGGTCCTGCTGAACTGTATAAATGATGATCCATCTATGGCCAGCATAAGGTGGATATGAAATGTATGGCCTAAATGCTTGTGATTAGGGTCTAGTAAAATGTGCCTTTTTTTGGAAAGGGGGGGGGGTATATAACATTGATAAAATTTACAGCATATACAAAGTAACAACCACCCTCCCAGGATTATTTATTTCAGGTACTTATATAGCTCCTTCAATTTATGCAGCGCTTTACATATGAATATTCTTCATTCACATCAGTCCCTAACCCTCAAGGGGCATACAATCTAAGGTCCCTAACTCACATTCATACATACATATACTAGGGCCAATTTAGACAGGATCCAATAAACCTAACAGCTTGTTTTTGGAGTGTGGGAGGAAACCGGAGTACCTGGAGTAAACCCATGCAGACATAGGGAGAACATGCAAACTCCAGGCAGGTGGTGCCGTGGTTGGGATTCGAACCAGCGACCCTAGTACTGCCAGGTGGAAGTGCTAACCATTTAGCCACTGTGCTGCCCCGTATAGCATCCTCTGCAAACCAGGGCCATCCCAATCAAGATGTAAAGTCAGAGGTTGGTCTCAGATGAGGGCCATTATAAGGGGCAGAGGATGAGATTCTTATCTTATTTTAAACTCGATCATTTCTTCCTGAATGTACAGATACTTTGGGACTGCATTGTTTCATCACTAATGGTAATCCTATCAGAACTGGCTGAAGTTGTGATGTTCAGGGTTTATGCCTGAAGCTTGAACACTTCTGATTAGTTTAAATAGGCAAGTGGAATATTTCCATTTTGAGGTTGTGAATGATATCCAATGTCTAGCTGTGGTTTAATTTCCCAATAATAATAATGGTGAACAATTTAAGCAATTTCCCATCTCTGTCTTTTATGAAACTGAACTGAGGAGATCGCCAAGTCATTCTTTGGCTAGTGGCACTGCCAGGGAGATCTGAGTACAGCAAATTTGATTTGTGACTTGTTTGCAAGCTTACAGCCAAATCAGTCATGGATCTGAAGCATCACGTATTCAGTACACAGCCATGAAATGCATGACTGGAATGCCAATATATTGATTTATAACACAGTAAATCTATATTTGTTTTGATTTAGTTTGTTTTTCTTGCCTCACTTAACTGCTTGGCCATAAAAAGAGCAGCTCTGTAAGTCTGTTATCTTTCGAAAAAACAGACCAAGCTGCCCAGTAAAAGTGGCAGTTAGAGGGTTGAAACAAACCATTTACCACTGAGAACAAGGGGACTTACAATGGACAACTTTTATTCATTTTCGTAAAATCTTTATGTCAAAATATGAAAAAAAACTATTGCTGTATTCTGTAACTTCTTTAAAGTGTTAGCTGGAAATTGGCTTTCATTTGTTAGTTGCCACCCTAAGACAGAAAGTGTGTTACTGGTGAAAATCAAGAAAATAAACGAAAGCAGCCACCACATTTAAAGATTAGTAAGCTGCAATACATTAAAGTTTTATTTTTGTGTTTAGATGCTCTATAAAGCTCACAGAAGAAGCACTGATGTCCTTATCTCTCTCTGCCACTCAGCTCACCCTGCTGCCCCTTCCAGAAGTGCCCAAGCAGCCTGGCAGCCTTCCAGTCCCTATTTTAAATACAGAGCAGGTGTTCTAGAAGGAATGTGCAGGGTAAGCCAAGTTGCTGAGGGAAGGACCTCTGGTACTTCTGCTGAGAATTTGAGGATCAATTACGCTACAATGTCTGTAGCTACAGAGGTAAGTGAAGGCTTGTTTTGAAGCTCGTTCACTGCTTGTTAAAATTTGCAAATAGTTGACTGTCCAAAGCTTTTACACAAGTTCACTTTAAAAGAGAAGCTGTCACAAAGCAAGATACTGGAGAGTCTTCTATAGGCAGCCATTCTCCCAGGCACATACACTTTTTTTGTCCTAATGAAAGGAAGTTCACATTTTTCATGGGGCCACAGGAGCTGCAGCTGGTTATCACAGAACAACTGTTCAATATCAAAGGCTTTTCATGCAGGAGCATTACAACAGAAAGGACCTAGTTTATTGTATGTGCAATTTTCATTTTAATAAATTTGTGTTCTTCCTTCACGTTTTACAGTTACAGTATTTTCAATTAATTTTTTTCCATTTTATTTACTTTGTCTGTATCTCCCACTTTTTCAAAATATTGCTGGTTGATATTGTGATTGCTTCATACAGTTTTACAGCAGTGGCCACAGAAAAGTGCACTCATCTGACTGTCATTGCTGGTTGTGTAGAGTACAGCTTTACAAAAGCAGTGCTTGAGGGGAAGTCTGGAGACCAACAATAAATTAGTGCCAAATCTGAAAAGACTGTGGATACAGATACAGTGCTGTGAAAAAGTATTTGCCCCCTTCCTGTGCATATTTCTCACTTTTAAGCTTTTAATACAAAATGCAGTTTTTGAATGATGACCTATTTTATTAAGGAAAAAAAAAGCTGTCCAAACCTGCCTGGCCCTTTGTGAAAAAGTAATTGCCCCCCCCCCAACTTGCAACCCAGGCCTGATTACTTACAGAGCCATTTCTAAGGCTTTGGTACTCCAGTAAAGCACGGTGGGAGCCATTATCCACAAATGGAGAAAACTTGAAACAGTGGTGAACCATCCCAGGAGTGGCCAGTCTACCAAACTTACTCCAAGAGCACAACAATGACTCATCCAGGAGGTCATAAAAGAACCCAGAACAATCATCTAAAGAACTGCATACCTCACCTGCCTCAGTTAAGGTCAGTGTTCATGATTCAACAAAAAGAAAGACTGGCAAAAATGGCATTCATCGGAGAGACCAAGGCAAAAGCAACTGCTGACCAAAAAGAACACAGAGGCTCAGCTCACATTTGCCAAAAAAAAAAAAATCTTGGTTTTCTCAAAGATTCTGTGGACTGATGAGACAAAAGTTGAAATTTTTGGAAGGTGTGCGTCCCTTTATATCTAGCATAAAATGAACACAGCATTTCATAAAAAGAACATCATACAACAGTCAAACATGGTGGTGGTAGTGTGATGGTCTGGGGCTGCTTTGCAGCTTCAGGACCTGGACGACTTGCCATAATTGATGGAAACATGGATTCTGCACTCTACCAGAAAATCCTGAAGGAGAATGTCCAGTCATCAGTTTATGACCTCAAGTGCACTTGGGTTATGCAGCAGGACAACAATCCGAAACACACCAGCAAGTCCACCTCTGAATGACTAAAAAAAAACTATATTAAGGTTTTGAGGTGGCCTAGTCAAAGTCCGGACCTAAATTCAATTGAAATGCTGTGATATGACCTTAAACAGGCCATTCATGCTCCAATACCCTCCAATGTGGCTGAATTAAAACAATTCTGCAAAGAAGAGTGGGCCACGGCAATGTGAAAAACCAAAGACTGCAGACAGTACAGGGAATGACCAGAGACTGCAGACATAGTACAGGAGATGGACCAGAGACTGTGGACACAGTACAGGAGATGACCAGAGACTGCGGACAGTATAGGGGATGACCAGAGACTGCGGACAGTACAGGGGATGACCAGAGACTGCGGACAGTATAGGGGATGACCAGAGACTGCGGACAGTATAGGGGATGAACAGAGACTGCGGACAGTACAGGAGATGAACAGAGACTGCGGACAGTACAGGAGATGACCAGAGACTGCGGACAGTACAGATGACCAGAGACTGCAGACAGTACAGGGCATGACCAGACACTGCGGACCTTTAGGGAGAGAAGGGGAGCGGGTACCTGAATTTGACAGGTACCCGCTCCCACTTCCGCGGAGTTCTCCTTCCTATACTGTGGGCACCCGACTTTGACAGCCGGGTGCCCACTGCGCATGCGCGAGAAGTGCTGCGCTTTGTGAATGGCACGGCATCTTTTGGGACCTGTCATGTGTCCCAGAAGACACCGGACCATTCACAAAGCGCAGCAATTCTCGCGCATGGACAGTGGGCACCCGGCTGTCACAGATGCCAGGGCAGGAAGAAGCCGGCGTGGGAAGACTACAGCGCTGGACCGAGGAACAGGTGAGTTCCTGCCGCACTGAACAGCTGAGCGGCCGGCCCGGTATTCTGACATGGTGGCGGCGGAAATACCGGACCGGCTGCTTTATATTCGCTCCATAAGACGCACTGACATTTTCCCCCCTTATTTGGGGGGAAAAAAGTGCGTCTTATGGAGCGCAAAATACGGTATAACTTTTACAATCAGAAATTAAACAATTATATTTTCAGACTAAAAGCAATCTTAAATGTCAAAACTAAAGTTTGCAAACTATAAAATAAGCATTTAGCACCCTCCTAGAGTAGGATGCTAGGTAAATTTAGTTTTTGGCTCCTTCTGTAATCAAAGAAGCAGTGATTGTTTGCCTTGGCCTGTTCAGGATTCACAGGCTAGGAGTTTGATTGCTTCCCCCTGCCTTAGAGCAGGAGATTCAAATATCCAGCCAGAATATTTTTCATGATCCAGCCAATCTATGGAGAGGAGTGTCCAGAAGGGGCTGGAATGATGAAAAATAATCTGAGACACTGGAGAGCTGAGTTTTTTCTCTCCAGGAGGGTTCCAAAGCTTAAAGGGCTGCTGTTTACCTAACCATGCATACACCATACCTGGTTGATGCCCCTGGAAGCTGAAAATCAGCAAAGTAGACACTACATCTCTTTTGATCGCCACTTGCTTCCAGGTTCAACGTCACGCAGCTGACCTGCTGCATTGTGAACACAGGAGGTTAGTCACTCAGCACAGACACCATTCAGAGTATGTTTTGCATCTTCTGAATGAATACAAAGTGTTCTCCGATTGGATGAGGTACAGAGGCAGAGAGGTGTATACTTCAGTGATTTCCAGGGGCATCAGTTGGGTATGACACAGTATATGCATAGTTACATTGCTAAAAGAAGGACCTATGTAACTATGTCTAAAATATCCATAACTGAATACTTTTTTTGTTTTTCATTTTAACATAAAACTTCTGAACTGCTGAATTTAATTTTAAAAGTCTTAATTGTATCATAGGTCTCTGCATTAACCCTAGATCTATTACTTTGTAATGTTACAGGTGGAAAGCTTAGCTGAAAGTTTTGCACTCTTCACTGAATATTGCCTCTTACTGCTGAAGAAGCTGAGAGACAATTTCCCTGTCCTCAACACAACGGTCATTAATCGCCTGGAATTCATGCTAAGGTAACTCTCAGTTACATGAATATTCTGCTGCAGAAATGTGTCTGAAGAGTCATGCTCACACCTTGTTCTCGCCTGCTGCAGGTGTCTCAGCCAAATCCAAAATATGCACGCGTTTAAGACGGTCTGCCCCTTTCATAATGAACTTCATCTGGAAATAGCAACTGTCCTAAAGGTATTATTCAAGTACAGGAACACACAAAAATGTGCAAGTTCTGACAAAGAAATGCCTATGTTTATGTCATTGGTGGATTGGTAGTTGGTGCTATACATTACATACACTATGTATATACACAGCTATATACAATATACATTGTTTTCTGTAAACCAGGGTTCCATGGGACCCATAGGTTCCTCCAGAGGTTGCTAGGGGTTCCTTGAACAGTGAGCAATTTGTACCTATCAGCTAAGTTCCCGCTAATACCATTGATCTTTTTAGCTATCTGTAAGGGAGTAATTCTTCTCAACGACGACAAGTGTAAGGAGCATTCTTCCCACTGACCATCATGCTAATGTAACATTTAGTTGTAGATATAGTCATTTTCAACAGGGGTTACCTCAGATTGGAACTTTATTTTAAAGGGTCCCGCTTTGTTGAAAAGGTTGGGAAAGGCTGAAGTATTTACAGACATGAAAGTGAATTGGTTAAGCCCCTGAAGAACGTTGAATTGGATTTTCAACTATACAGTATATCTTGCACTCTCTACCAAAATTACTACTGACTGACAGTGAAATAACAGATAGAATTTTAAGTCTTTCCAACTCTAAACGAAACTAAGATATTTTTTTTCTTACTGTAGTTGGGATTTATTGTTCTCCTTTCTACGTTTTGCTTTCTGCAGTTATTTGTGAACTTATATCTTGTATTCAGAAAAAAGAAAAATGCTATTTGTGTCCAAAGTGACTCAAGAGCTGAATCAGAACTGCCAGTTTACCTTCTAAAAGGCTCTGCATGCTCATTTCTAAATACGGTTTGCTGGAACACAATTGGACTGATTGAGGGGAAATTTGACATCACAAAGGAGTGCTGTGAAAGATGGAAAACCTATCATACAGTGATACATTTTTATTATGTCTTCCTAACTGTGCTCCAGCATGCTCCGATAAGTCTACACTGGGTACAAATTACAAGGTAAACAGGCTATAGCAGGAGGGAAGAAAGTCCTAAATCTACTCCTCAGCCAGAACATTTGGAAACAATGCTTCTATTTATTAGGGACTGTTTCTACTATTCAGGTTTTAAATGTGGTATGCATAAAAAATGCATATAACCATGGTTAAAATCCCTGAGCCAATATAGCTGAGGGGGCCTAAACATCATTTCTGCTCAGGTCTGCCACAAGCATTGAGTACATTAGTGCAGCTTGAACATAATTGCAGGGCTTTTAATACATTATCACACATTGATAAAATTATTTATATTGGTGTGTAAGGACAGCCAAAAGCATTTTTTTTAGCTCTGGATAGAGTGTGAAAAGTGTATCCCCTGTTGGGTTTTTACTGCTATTCGGGGCTCTGTTTAAAAGATTTTCCCTCATTGTCAAGGTGAAAATTTCAGACAACAGGAAGTGAGGGAAAATCAGCTACATAGATTAAAAAACAGTCAGGGGCTCTAACCTTCCTAGTCCTAAAACTATTTTATTTTTGTTGTTATTGCTGTTTTAGATGTACTATCACTTTTTGTCAATGGAAACTGTTGTCACCAAGAAAAAAAATGAAAAGAAGTCTCCGAAAAGAAGTCTCCCCAACAGGGGTTCTAGTATTTCAATATATCCAAAACGAGAAAAAGGTTTTGGTTGAACATATACTATACTTAAAACTACCCAACTTAACATACATATCATATATGGCTAAATGGTTAGCACTTCCGCCTGGCAGTCCTAGCATCATTGGTTCGAATCCTAGCCATGGCACCTCCTGCCTGGAGTTTGCTGTTCTCCCTGTGCCTGCATGGGTTTCCTCCCGGTACTTTTCTCCCACACTCCAAAGACATGCTGGTAGGTTAATTGGATCCCGTCTAAATTGGCCCTGTACATGAATGTGAGTTAGGGACCTTAGATTGTACACCCCTTGATTGTTAGGGACTGATATGAATGTACAATATACAGGTGAAACTCAAAAAATTAAAATATTGTGCAAAAGTTAATTTATTTCAGTAATGCAACTTAAAAGGTGAAACTAATATATGAGATAGACTCATTACATGCAAAGCAAGATAGTTCAAGCCGTGATTTGTCATAATTGTGATGATCATGGCTTACAGCTCAGACTGACTCCGACCACTTTGGAACCGCCCTACTAACTCTCCCGGCCATCAGGCCCCTCTTAAGCCCCACCCAAGCCCCCTTCAATCAGCTACTACTTTCCCATTTCAAACCAAACTCCTCTATTAACCCTAAGATGTTCCGCCTATCCTGCCAACCTAGTCATGTCAGGTCCTCCGCCTAATGCTGCGCAACTAGCTCCAGCCTTATTCTTTACTTCCATACAACAGTGTGAATTAATGTATTTAGACATACTGAATATACAACAGAAATCAGTTGGATGGAATTAATCTTATCAGTGTGTAAATGTATTAATCAGGGCTTTTTTTTTCTCAGAGAAGAGGTGCAGGTACTTCCCCCTTCCAAGTCACCCCTTGTTCCCCCCCCCTCCCCCCATCTCCAAGCACTGTACCTTGGTTCCACCTCCTACACATCTCCCGGGGCTGCCCCTTTTAGAGACTACTGAACCAAGTATCAATTTGTGATGCTACCCAATTTGTATGGAATTTGTTAACGATGACAAGAAAAGTAGTGAAATAGATCCCCTGCAGCCAGCAACAATAGCTTCCCCCCAGCAACAATACAGTAGATCTCCCAGCAGCTAGAATCATTAGACCCTCCAGCAGCCAGCAACAACAGACCCATCTCTCAACAGTAGATTCCTACCAGCAACAATTGACCTCCTAGCAACGTAAGACCCTCCCCAGCAACAATAGATCCTCCAGGACAATAGCTTCTCACCAAAAGCAATAAAGCTGCCCAGCAACAATAGATCCCCTAGCAGCCAGCATCAGTAGACCCTCCAGCACACTGCAGCACCCCATTACTAGTACTAGAGGTGCCTAAAATGCATGTCCCCATGTTCCCACTGAAAAAAAACCCTTGTTTTAAATAATCATGTACAGGTGAAACTTGAAAAATTAGAATATCGTGCAAAAGTTAATTTATTTCAGTAATGCAACTTAAAAGGTGAAACTAATATATGAGATAGACTCATTACATGCAAAGCAAGATAGTTCAAGCCGTGATTTGTCATCATTGTGATGATTATGGCTTACAGCTCATGAAAACCCCAAATCCACAATCTCAGAAAATTAGAATATTACATGCAATCAATAAAACAAGGATTGTACATAGAACAATATCGGACCTCTGAAAAGTATAAGCATGCATATGTACTCAGTACTTGGTTTGGGCCCCTTTTGCAGCAATTACTGCCTCAATGCGGCGTGGCATGGAAGCTATCAGCCTGTGGCACTGCTGAGGTGTTATGGAAGACCAGGATGCTTCAATAGCGGCCTTCAGCTCTTCTGCATTGTTCGGTCTCATGTCTCTCATCTTTCTCTTGGCAATGCCCCATAGATTCTCTATGGGGTTCAGGTCAGTCGAGTTTGCTGGCCAATCAAGCACAGTAATCCCACAGTCATTGAACCAGGTTTTGGTGCTTTTGGATTGTGGATTTGGGGTTTTCATGAGCTGTAAGCCATAATCATTACAATTCTGACAAATCACTGCTTGAACAGCATTAATCATGTTAAGGATACGAAGGGTGTTGTCTCGCCTGATGTCCCGTCTGATCTCTGTGTATGAGATTAGGGATGTAGGGCAACAGCCTTTTGGCCAAGATTTTTGCAAACAGTTTCAAGTCAATATTTAGCAGTGCAATAGGGCAGTAGCTACCGCAATGTTATGGGTCTTTGCCTTCCTTTGGTATCAGGGAGATGTAAGCGCTGCCTGCATCTGGAGGTATAGGCTGTCTCTTTGCCAGGGAATTATATGCTGCCACCATATGAGAGGAAAGGAGGTTAAAGAAGGTCTTATTTTTTATTTTATTTATTTCAGGTACTTATATAACGCCGTCAATTTACGCAGCGCTTTACATATATGTTGTACATTCACATCAGTCACTAACCCTTAAGGGGTATACAATCTAAGGTATACAATGCTGTCAGGCCATCTGGGCCTGGAGCTTTCTTGGGTTTAGAGAGGGAAAGCGCCACTCCCAGTTACTCGACTGAGATAGGGGCTTCCAATTCCTGACAAATGGAAGGGGAAAGAGTGGGCATACCGGTTGTCTAATGAGTTGGCATTCAGGGAGAAGTACTCTCTGATAGAGTGTTCCAGGGTAGCCTTAATCTCAGGGGACTTAAGCAGGGCTTCATTCAGACACCAAGAAGGAGGACTATGGAAATCAGGCCCTATCTGCAATTCAAGGAATACAGGGGCATGGCCTGAGAAGCCAATGTCACCTATACGCGTCGACTGAACTCTGAGGAAATCTTTTTGTTGAACAAAAAGGTAGTCTAAACGAGAGTACGTTTGGTGGACTGTAGAGTAATAAGAATAGTCCTTCACATTGGGATGGCATATGCGCCAGGTGTCGACCAGATGTAGCAGATGGAGTTCGGCTTTCAGTTGTTTAAGGCAGGAAAAAGAGAGACGAGAGGAGACATCCAGGAGTGGTTCCAAGACGAAGTTAAGATCACCACCGAAAATTAAGGTGCCCTCCATAAAGTCTAGCAGCATCAGGAGCAACCCCCTCAGGAATGGTATGTGGTTCATATTAGGGAAGTAGACATTAGCAAAAGTCACTGTAAATTGGCCAATCTTACCTCCAACAAGATAAACAGATATCGGCCCAGCGGGTCCTGTCGCACTGCAGAGAGAGACCAGGGGACCGTTTTGGCTAGTAGAATACTAACCACTTTCGATTTGGAATTGGAGACAGACAGTGGTTTACCACCGGGAAGTCTCGGTTAATGAGCCTAGGGACATTGTTAACCTGAAAATGGTTTCCTGTATAAATGCCACCTGTGTCTTGCTTTTTTTCAAGTCCAGAAGAAGTCTGGCCCCTGACATTGAAAGACGCAATTTGCAATGTACCCATCATATAGTGTCTGAATTGGCAGGC